TCAATGCAAGATTTCTACCAGAGAGCAACACTAGAGTATGATGGAGTATTTAGGCACTATGTTTACCCGAAAATCACTAGCTCAAGCGCCCGAAGATGGGCTATGGCTTGGTCCACTTCCTCATTCGAACCTCCAAACATCTGCGTGTCAATTGTGGATTCTATGGGTCGTGGTGCATGTGCTTAAATAGCTTGTGCACCCTTGAAGATCAAGGACCGACTTGCCACTGCCCAAATGGTTACTCCTTTACTGATCCAAAAGATGAGCGCAGAGGATGCAAGCAAAACTTTGCCCCACAGAGTTGTGGTGAAGTGTCAAAGGAGGAAACATATCTTTTCGATTTCCAAGAGCTGCAAAACACAGATTATCCGGGCGGAGATTACGAGAATTTTCTGGATGTAACTGAGGATTGGTGCAAACAGAATTGCCTAGATGATTGTTTTTGTGCCGGGGCATTTTTTGGAAACGGAGGGTGTGTTAAGAAGAGACTCCCTTTAGCAAATGGGAGGACTGACCCCAGTTTTACAGGAAAAACTCTTATAAAATTTGGGAAACAAAATTCGACTGTGAAATCAGGTGGAGGTTCCGACATAGAAAAGAAAGACAATAAAACTTTGATCCTTTTCGGATCAGTCATCCTGAGTGGTTCTGGGATTCTAAACTTCCTCCTACCATTGATAACCTATTTGGTTGTTTCGCGAGCCTATTCGAAAAAAGCGAAGATGATTCAACCTTATCCAGTCATCTCTGGTATGAATTTGAAGCATTTCACTTATGAGGAGCTAAACAATGCTACGAACCAATTCGAGGAAGAACTAGGACGCGGCGCTTCTGCAACAGTCTTCAAAGGAGTTCTAGCCTCTGATAATGGAAAGATCGTTGCTGTCAAAAGCTTAAACGCTAGGGTCAGAGAAAATGATTTGAAATTCAAAGCGGAAGCGAGTGCTATTAGCCGAACAAACCAGAGAAATTTAGTCCAGCTAATTGGATTTTGTTACGAGGGAGAGCACCGAATTCTGGTGTACGAGTTTATGAGCAACGGACCTTTAGCGAGCTTCATCTTTGGAGAGTCGATGCCAAACTGGTATCAAAGGAGAAAAATCGCCTTGGAAATTGCAAGAGGGCTGTTGTATTAGCACGAGGAGTGTAGCAGCCAAATCATACATTGTGACATCAAGCCTCAAAACATTCTTCTTGATGACTCTCTCACTGCAAGAATTTCTGACTTTGGTTTAGCAAAGCTTTTGAGAATCGACCAGACTCTAACCATGAATGGAATCAGGGGAACAAAAGGTTATGTGGCCCTTGAATGGTTGAAAAGGTTGCCTATCACGGCCAAGGTTGATATTTATAGCTACGGAATTTTGTTGTTAGAGATTATTTTCTGCAGGAAGCATTTCGTGGCAGCGGCAGAGGAGGAAGATCAAATGATACTAGCTGATTGGGCGTACGATTGCTACAAGCAGAATGAGCTGCACCAGCTATTCAACAATGATGATGAGGCAATGCACCACATGAAGGAGATCGAGAAGTATGTGAGGATTGCACTATGGTGCATTCAGGAGGATCCGTCACTCAGACCTACCATGAAGAAAGTCACATTGATGCTCGAAGGAACTGTCGAAGTCTCAGCTCCTCCCGATCCATCTTCTTTCATAAGTTCAATACTTTAAGTGCTTCCAATTATCCATTTCTTATGTTTATCAAAAGTTTGTTTAGTTTTTATTTGTCCAACGTGTGCATTCAAGATTACAATTTATTTCTGTTAAAACCTTTTTTCAGTAGATTAGTACTGCTACAAAGGTCTTTAACTGTTCAGCCGACAAACACCAAACAAATTTTCTTTTCCAATGTTTTCTTCTTGTTCCGGCCATGCCTGCCGAACGCTTTACATTGTTCAGTTTTGATCAACCGATCTCTTCTTCAAAACCTCGGTTCTTACTCACCGAACAAGTCGTGAACCCTAATGGAATTTTCAGTTGGTCTCATTTTTCTTTGTACAGGTCTAATGTGTTATTGATTCATTCAATCGTGAGTTTATTTATCATGGCATCTGATTGATGCAATCTTTAACTGTGCATTACTTGGAAACATTCTCACACTAAATTCTACAAAAAAGAGTAGATTGGACGAGAGGAAAGACTTGAATTTAAAACTAGAGTCAGGGCAGCTTTGATGTTTCATCTCTTTGAAGTATTCAAGGAAGGCAGCTTCCAAGTAATTGGGCTGCTTGCATATTAAGATTTAAAAAGACTTTGCATCCCTTACCCCGAATGACAAATACCTCCAACTGCATATCTACCATGATTCAACGTTTACTTAGTCGTTTGTGAAGGCGATGGACTCATCACAGTTTACTTGAAAATTAAATAGTAGTATGCATGATGTAAACCTGACGGATGACGGAATTTATGTTATTTTAGATGTGAGAAAGTTAAAAAAGGGAAGCAATTTGTGTTATTTTAGATGCGAGAAAATTAAAAGAAGGAAGCGTCATTTAATTGAAAAAAAAAAGTGAGCGGAGAATTTGTAATTCCCCTGTTAAAAGATAATTTGTTGTTGCCATATTCCAAAAGTGGATGTTTTGGACTTTTCACATTGTTTGGATTCTTTTTTAGTGCTTCAAAACCTCCATGCAATGGAAGAGTTTCTGCGCGCTTTTGATTTCTCTGAAACTTTACACTTACCAGAAGAGTAGAGCAATTGAGTTGCAACTTGCCATTCTACACTCCCAAAATGCAGCGTTCTGATCATCTCTCTCCTCAATCCTTGTTGGATCACTACTCACTTAGTAGCTCATGGGTTCTGAACTTCCTCCTCCCGTCGAGAAATTATTTGGTTGTTTCTCTAATCTATTATACAAAAGTTAAGGTCATTCAGCCTTATCCAGTCATGTCAGATATGAACTTGAAGTGTTTCACTTGTGAAGAGCTAAATGATGCTACAAATAGAGTCGAGGAAGAACGAGGACGCGGTGCTTCTGTAACAGTTTTCAAAGGGGTCTTGGTGGAACTGGAAAATGTGTTGCTGTCAAATTCTTGTATATGAGTTTATGAGCAATGGCTCTCTAGCAAGCTTCCTCGCTTTGAAGATTCAATGACAAACTGGCACCAAAGAAGGCAAATTGCATTATAAAATTGTGCAAGATGCATTCTCTCATCAATATGAGATTCATTCTCAACAAGATCTTGAGGTAAAACAATAAAGTAGTAATTACTTTATTTGATGCAGTGTGCAGAGTGACAAGAGTGCTTTCGTAAGGTCCTCATTGTGAGGACCTGTCTAGACCAAATGCATACTAGCCACTAAATTATATTCGTTTAGATCCAAAAGCTTACAATATTAGACAACTTAACAAAGCAAAACAAGAAAGAATTAGTGTTCCACAATGAAAGAATTGAGGTTCTACTATAAAATCAATTGGCAATATGAAAAGTAACCAAACTCCTTATAAGCCCTTTCACGATTTGATCTCTCACCAATGAACTTTGTCCTCACATTCTCACACTAAATTTTACAAAATAGAGTAGTTCTATAGAGTTTCTAAGTCAAGGTTGGACGAGTTAGGGGTTCAACCCAAAAAGAGGGTAGAAAAGAATGCATATTCTAAAAATAGTAGTTCTATAGAGTTTCTAAGTCAAGATTGGACGAGTTAGGGGTTCAACCCAAAAAGAGGGTAGAAAAGAATGCATATTCTATTGTAGCACAGGGACAAGATTGACTTGCATGCATATTCAAATTTAGAAAAGACTTTGCATCCATTACGTACCCAAAGGGCAAATTAAATCTCCAACTGTAAACCTACCATGATTGACGGTTGACTTGAAAATTAAATAGTTTGTATTCATGATGCAAACTTCCGGAAACATATCTTTTGGCCCATCTATTGTAGCACAGGGACAAGACTGACTTGCATGCATATTCAAATTTAGAAAAGACTTTGCATCCATTACGTACCCAAAGGGCAAATTAAATCTCCAACTGTAAATCTACCATGATTGACGGTTGACTTGAAAATTAAGTAGTATGTATTCATGATGCAAACTTCCGGAAACATTTCTTTTGGCTCATCTATTGTAGCACAGGGGCAAGACTGACTTGCATGCATATTCAAATTTAGAAAAGACTTTGCATCCATTACGTACCCAAAGGGCAAATTAAATCTCCAACTGTAAATCTACCATGATTGACGGTTGACTTGAAAATTAAGTAGTTTGTATTCATGAAGCAAACTTCTGGAAACATTTCTTTTGGCTCATCTCTCACCGCACTAAATGATGATAACTCATCGTCGTGGACATCACCATCTGATGACTTTGCTTTTGGTTTTCGGAAAATTAGAAAAGATGGGTTCCTACTTTCTACTAGCCTTTGCAACGTGGAGTGGGATGGAACACAGTGGGACATAATTGATTCGTCCCATATTTGGCGTTAGAAATAACGTGGGACGCGCTTGTCCTTGAAACGGATTTTAATCCAAAAATGTGATCCTCTTCGGATCCTTTCCACCTAATCCACCTAATCATCTAATCTGAACTCTTGAAATTTGATCGAACAGCTAAAGTTAATATAACTTTTAAATGACCCCCTGTTTGTAGCCGTTGGATCAAATTTTAAAGGCCCAGATTAATTGATTGGGTGGATTTGGTGGATGGGATCCGGAGAGGATCCCTTTCCCAATTTTTGTACCACATAATCCCTTTTAACGTATTCGTTCCACCAAAGGCAAATTTGAACCACAGTATTGCTAGCCCATTATGAAGATTAGCCTACCCCCTCCCCTTAATATAGATAAGTGCTGTGGAGCATGCTTAGCCGTTAGGCTTCACACGCAGGCCAACCTGCTATGATACCATGAAGATAATTAAGGTTCCTCCATCGATAATTCCTCTATTTATTCGGACAAAAAAAATGACGAACTAGGTTTTATACAACTGATAATTCCTCTATTTATTCGGACATTTTAAGAGAATTATGTACATTCAATACCATACAGTATGTTAAGAGCAAAGAGTACTTGAAAATGAAAAATACACAAACTTTTGATATACATAAGAAATGGGATTATTATTGGAAGAACTTAAAGTATTGAACTTATGAAAGAAGATGGATCGGGTGGAGCTGAGACTTCGACGGTTCCTTCGAGCATCAATGTGACCTTCTTCATGTTAGGTCTAAGCGATGGATCCTCCTGAATGCACCATATTGCAATCATCACATACTTCTCCACCATCTTCAAGTCATGCATTGTCTCATCGTTATTCTTGAATAGCTGGTGCAGCTTATTCTGCTTATAGCAATCGTACGCCCAATCAGCTAATATCATTGGACCTTCATCCTCAGCCGCTGCCTCGAAATGCTTCCTGCAGAAAATAATCTCTAACAACAGAATTCCGTAGCTGTAAATATCAACCTTGGCCGTGATAGGCAACCTTTTGAACCATTCAGGGGCCACATAACCTTTTGTTCCCCTGATTCCGGTCGTGGTTAGAGTCTGGTCGATTCTCAAAAGCTTTGCTAAACCGAAGTCAGAAATTCTTGCAGTGAGAGAGTCATCAAGAAGAATGTTTTGAGGCTTGATGTCGCAATGTATGATTTGGCTGTTAATTTCCTCGTGCAAATACAACAGCCCCCTTGCAATTTCCAAGGCGATTTGCCTCCTTTGGTACCAGTTTGCCATCGACTCTCCAAAGAGGACACCTGCTAAAGATCCGTTGCTCATAAACTCATACACAAGAATTTGGTGCTCTCCCTCGTAACAAAATCCAAGTAGCTGGACTAAATTTCTATGGTTTGTTCTGCGAATAGCACTTACTTCCGCTTCGAATTCCAAATCATTTTCTCCGACCCTAGTGTCTAAGCTTTTGACAGCAACGTTCTTCCCATTACCAGAGGCTAGAACTCCTTTGAAAACTATTGCAGAAGCACCGCGTCCTAGTTCTTCCTTGAATTGGTTCGTGGCATTTTTTAGCTCCTCATAAGTGAAATGCTTCAAATTCAGACCAGAGATGACTGGATGATTTTGACTCACCTTCGCTTTTCTCGAATAGGATCGCGAGACAACCAAATAGGTAATCAATGGTAGGAGGAAGTTTAGAACCCCAGAGCCACTCAAGATGACAGATCCGAAAATGATCAAAGTTTTATTGTCTTTCTTTTCTGTGTTGGAACCTCCACCCCATTTCACAGTCGAATTTTGTTTCCCAACTTTTATCAGAGTCTTTCCAATAATATTGGGGTCAATTGCCCCATTCGAGAAAGGGAGTCTCTTCTTATAACACCGTCCAACGCTGTTGTATTGTGCCACAACACAAAAACAATCATCTAGGCAATTTTGTCGGCACTAATCCTCAGGTACCCCCTCAAAAAGCGCGTAGTCTCCGGCCCAGCAATTTGCGTTATTCAGCTCTTGAAATTGGAAAACATCTGTCTCCTCCTTTGACATTTCACCACAACTCTGTGGAGCAAAGTTTTGCTTGCTTCCTCTGCGCTCATCCTCCGAATGAATAAAGGAGTAACCATTTGGGCACTGGCAAGCCGGTCCTTGATCTTCAATCGTGCAAAAGCTGTTTAAGCCACATGCCCCACCGCCGGTTGATTCCATAATCGACGTGCAGATGTTTGGAGGTACGAATGGGGATGAGGAAGTGGACCAAACCTTAGGCCATCTTTGGGTGCTCGAGCTAGTGCTTTTTGGGTAAACATAGTGCCTAAATACTCCATCAAACTCTAGTGTTGCTCTCTGGTAGAAATCTTGCATTGAAACCGTATTGGATGATATGGTACTGAGTAAGCTTCCGTTCTTGGATGTGACGTACATAAAGCCAGACTCGTTGAAGATGAATCGAAATCCAATATTTGGATTTTGCACCGACCAATACGCGTAATTGGGCGTATTTTGTGGGAACCTTGTAGTCGCAAGTACAAGATTCCCATCAGGTTGTAGTGAAAACAGGAATCTACCAGTCGAGTAATTTGTTGCCGTGTAGCGCGCATAGAGTATGCCATTCTGATTTAGAGTTTGTGAGGGTAGAATTGTATCGGTTGGATTACTAAAGCTCTCCCACACATTGGATGAATTTCCATTCGCCAACACAAAATTTCCGGTGTCTAGCATGGATGCATAGGCAACTCCAGTACCAACAGATTCAGTGTTCCGTATTCGCTTGCCATTGAGCATAAACTCGCCATTGATCGTAAGCTCCACTTTCGATCCCTTTGGCACTAGATTATCCCGATTGGCCGACCAGACAATAGTTTTAATTGGTATCTCATCGAACCAAATGGCTAGTAGGAACCCATCTTTTGCTACTTCTCGAAAGCCGAAAGCAAATTCACCAAATGGTGATGGCCAGAATGGGTTATCATCTTTTACTGTGGTGAGGGATGAGCCTAAAGATATGTTTCTATAAGTTTGAGCAGTGGTGGGAAATGGAAGAAACGTTAAAAGGAAGAAGAGAAGATTTATCAGTGGACAATGAAGGAAGATTTGTGAAAACCATGTTCATTTAAGCAACATCAATAGCATGCAATTAACAATTAAAGGCGGAATCATGCTTATATGCACTTAAAAACAAAACATTTACCCATGAAATTCAAAGCCTAGTAGATAGGTGAACCAAGACTCAACTCAAAACAAAGTGAGTTGAGAAATCAATACCTTTGTAGATTCCTCTTTGCATAAGCAAAGGCTAATCACCCAAAGAGAGGGCCTTCATTCCTTGCATCTTAGATCCATGGATTTGGATGGATGAAAAAGTTTCTCCAAGTTCCCAAAATTGAGAACCTCTAATGATTCATCACCAAGGCATAATGAAGAAGAAATGAGTGACCTTGGATGAGTTTGATTGCTAGATGATCCCTCCAAGGTGGCCTAAATTTTAGAGAGAAAGGAGAGCTTGTGTTCTCATCCTTTCCCCAAAAATTACCATATATAAATTTTAGGCTATAAAGTCCTTTATATAGTCCCTTCAAATAAGTGACCTAATGGACCAAAAGCCATATTCTTCTAACATGGCAAGTCTATAGGGTTTATTGGGCTTTCAAGCCCTTTGTTTATTCAAGTTGTCATACAACTTGAGTTAATGGGCTTGACATTCAAATCTCATTGGGCCTTGCGGCCCAAAACTAACCCGAGGTCTTTAACGAACTTATTCGTTTGATTAATTAACATATTAATTAATCCTAGCCTTAGATAAATAATTAAACCATTTAATTATTCTTACTCATCTCCGTTGTTTCTTCAAACTCTACCTTACTCGGTGAACGATCCATTAGGTTCCTTTTAGCGAGGCAGTGGGCGATTAAAATTCTTTCTAATCGATTGTGAATTGAAACTTACTTTCAATTCTCCCGTTAGTGATAATACACTTTTAGGGCTTCCACAAACCATGGTTGACGCCTAGCAGCATGTCATGGTTACCCAAGCTAATCAGAAGAGGTGGAGAACCTATTCAGTTTTAGGATTACAAATGCAATACAGTCTTTCTCTAATACAATACTCTTGACCACATTGTTTGGTTTGATAGTTTATTCATGTCTACTATCCAATGTGAGTCTTGTGCTTATATGATTACCTTGAATGTGATTTGGAACACATTCCTAAATCTCATTCATACTTTGGCCAAAGATTCTTAATCATATCATAGAGTATTCTCCCTCAAACAGTTTGAAGGTTAGAGATCCCTTGTTGCGCATTCACTTGCCTTCATGGCTAAGTGGCTTAACCCCAACGATGCCATGGACACCCTCCTGATGGAGTGACTTTGACATAATCAAAGATTAAGGACCTAACCATAAGACAACTGTGATGCCTCAGGTCAAAAGACTAATTTACATTATCCCAACCATGAGTTCTCATGTGACATGAATATGAGAACTCTTCGTTGATCGTGTTCAGTGAACTCATTCTCTATTGAGCACCTACGTACTTGTCTTGATGTCACACACACCAATGACTCGAGACTAGTCACTCTCCCTGAGAGAAGACATAGCACGTACTGATCTTAACGGACTGTCAATGCCCAATTGACAATCCTATGATCAGGAACGTTTAGGATGTGTCAACGAAAGAATGGTCTCATGAATCTAACTTCTTTAGATCGCATTCTTCCAATCACATATTCCTTGGACTTATCGTTTAAGCATATAACATTTATATGAGACGGCTCAAACAATAATCTTTGCCCTTTACATTTAAACTACATTAGTTTAACTTTCTGAAATGTCCGTAAAGTATCATCATATGATTGGTTTTAGGGCACATTTCCAATAGACAAGCCATGGCAAAATTTACAGAGGGACTCTGTTTCAATCAATTGCAATATTTTATTTCATCCTCTTCCAAGTATGAAATAAAAAACTTAGCTGCTGGACAACGATGTGATTTCTTCGTATTAAATAAGAGGATCAAACCACAACAAGGTCAACAATGAGCTCATTTGCGTGAATGACTAAATTTCGCTGGCATTACTTGGAAACTGTCTTCTTTGACTCAGTCAAGCTTCATGTAATTTGTTCCATAAGCATTCATTTCACAAGCCGTGCCATCAACGGCCTCAAGAGTTAGATAAATCACTCTAATAGGAAGGCAGGAAAAGTGTTCGTATGCCTCCACCAGTCTCACAAAATGCAGTTGAAGTTTCTAAAAAAGAAGCCATGCAGAACATTATACTTAGACAAGTACGCCATCAAAGATTACTCAGTAAAACAGAACATGCTAACGTAAGAAGTAGACCATCAGCTTTGACAAATTCGGATCTGAGTTGATCGGTTTTAACCCCTTTTTTTTTTTTTACTGTGTCCACAGCGAAACTGGCATAACTTTTCATCTCGGGACAATGCCGATATATTGTAGCGTAATGCCCAACTGTAACCTGTTTAAATAAAGGCAAGCGGAACAAATTTAGCAGTATACAACCCTTAATTTTGGTCCTATATGCAAATGTGTTGTACACTGCATGTGTATGACAGCAGCGGTTGAATTTTGAATTCTATTTGCCACAAAGAAAGGGTAATAAACAGATGGTGCATGCCCTTATCTAATGGTCTTATATGCAAATGCAAAGTTAGGTACTAAAGCTGAAGCGCTGTAGCGCACACACATTTTTATATACCTTCCCAATCAAATTGCTATCTATTCCGAGAGGCATTCCAGGTATGCAGCTACCTGGAAGACATCAGTTGGCAGCCATATCATAAATCCAAAAAAGAAGTGAATTCCAATAGTACTTTCATACCCAAAAAATATACATAAATAACTGGAAGTCAAAGAGTAACCATACATTTGCATCATACGCAAACCATAGACCACACAGAAGAATAAACTGTAAACATCGTCAAGTCAATATTTGAAGTAGGGCAGCTAAACTAGTTTTAGGCTTAAAAGAACGAATGGCGACCAGATAAGTGATCAGATCAAAGCTCGAATATTTATATAAGACCCTACGAAATCATACGACAGCAGCTGGTACACAGGGAGAAGTTAGGACATGACAAGGTGCTCTTTTTATCAAAAAAGACATCCAACATTCCATACCAATGACCTGAAAGGTCTAGCATCATGTGTGTATAGTGTACAACATTATTTAATCCAGTGTTTATAGTTACTCACCTGGATATCGTACATCACGCGCCAGTGCTGCCAATTCAGGACTAACCTTCTGTCCAGCTTCCTCGAGTAAGATGGTAAGTTCCTTTGCGCACCTAGCATTAGCAGTTGTAAAGAACGTGTATGCTGTTCCTTTTGGCTCAGCAAGGACAATGCGGTAAACATAATCATCAATGGATCCCGGAAAGTCGTAATTGATAACATATTTCACATTCTTCAGAACTGCAAATTAAGCATGAAACAAAGTGATTAGAAACAAGGCTTCAGGCCAGTTCACGGGTTAAATGCATCAACAAAAATTGCCAGGTTGACAAACCTACACTCCCACAGTAACCAAACAAATCCTAGGTTACTAAAAGGGCAAGATTTTGGCAAGGGTGATGTCGACTAGTAAATTAAATAATGCTTTCAACTGTGAGGAGATTGAAGAAGATATTTCTTTCTAAATAATATTATAATAGCAATAATAAAATTATTATAGTAAGAAGAGATGCAACTTGTAAACACGAGAAATTCCTGAAACACAAGCGACAAGAATACGTGTACAAAATATATATTTTGTATTAATGATTTTGGGGTTACAATCTTTTTGTAATTTGATCCTCTGATTCTATCTTCGTACGATGTGGGTTTGTGGATGAGTTGTTGATCCAAAGGGCCATCAGGGCTTGATCTAAGGATGCACAGTTGATGAATGGATCTTCAAGGGGCGTTGGACTTGATCTTGAAGAATGGGTGTATGAGTTTGTTGAGGTTGTTGATCCAAAGGGCCGTTGGGGCTTGATCTCAGGATGAACGGGTGATGAATGATGAACACTTTCTTCAAGGGGCCGTCGGAGCTTGATCTTGAGTTAGTGGGAGTTCTTCAAGGGCCGTTGAGGCTTGATCTTGAAGGTTGATGGATGAGCGGATCTTCAAGGGCTTTTGGGCTTAATCTTGAAGAACGATTGGATGTGTGGATTTGTTGAGGTTGTTGATCCAAAGGGCCGTTGGGGCTTGAACTTAGGATGAACGGATGATGAACGATGAACACTTTCTTCAAGGGGCCGTCGGGGCTTGATCTTGCGTTGGTGGAAGTTCTTCAAGGGCCGTTGGGGCTTGATCTTGAAGGTTGATGGATGATGAACGATGAACACTTTCCTCAAGGGCCGTCGGGGCTTGATCTTGAGTTGGTGGAAGTTCTTCAAGGGCCGTTGGGGCTTGATCTTGAAGGTTGATTTGACGAAGAACGAAGAGTGCTTTCTTGATCCTTCGGGATTTGCTTGAGAGCTTTAGAGTTCCGAAGCTTGAAGGTTTTGGTGTGATATCAATTTCCCTTCCTTTCTTCCTTCCTTCCTTCTTCCTCTCTCTCAAATGAATGCCTTGGCCTCCTATTTATAGAATTCCAAAACTTGATTTTTGGATTTAAATAATCAGATGAAATAAATCATTTCTGCCAGGTATTGACACGTGTCATATTTGATGACTTTTCCAATTTATTTCGATTTTTCGTTGAATCACACGCTACATGTAAAATTTATGTGACACGTGAACGTTGAAATTTTAATTATTGGTCAACATTCATTTCACCG